TAATAATTCTTTAGTATATTACTTGTGTGGCGTAGAAGATAATTATCTATGAATGTAATTATGTAAAATGTTAACTCTGTAATAATTCTGTAGTATATTACTTGTGTGGTGTAGAGGATAATTATTTATGTAGAGATATTGCTTAGGACTTAAAAGTTGTAAGATGATGTCATGGGGTAGGACTAGATAAGTCTAACTTCTTCCTACTCCGTTCAAGCATGTACTAGGTATAAGTAAATTGATATTGGATTATTATTGTTGGATATGTGTGAAATTACATGTGTTGACATATCAACTGTTTTACATGCTTGAATGAATAAATCAAATCAAATCAAATCAAAATCAAATCTACTTTACAGGGTGCAAAGTGATTAAAGGGTGCAGATACAATCAACCTCCAAGATCTGTTCTGGTCTTCGGCACAATAACTGCCTTTTCATTACACACATTCCCCTCTTCTTACAGAGACAGGGGTTTCTGAGACAAACTCCAAGCCCCGGTACTCTTAGTGCAGACACCAGTGGTGGGTTGTAATGAAGCCATAGCATTCCTACCCTGAAATCCATGAAGGAACCTGGACCCAAGTGGCAGCAGTTCAGAGGTGTACTCATTATATCCACCTACAAAGAGCTGGTTGAGAATACTGAGTCCCACCAGGGATCCTGGAGAGGATCCCATCCTCCTGCGTTGTCCATCAACCTGAGAAAGACAGTAAAATGTCAGTACTTGAGGCAGTGTCTTACACTTGTAGATGTCAGTGTGGAAGTACAATTAATTTAAAAATCTGCCAAAGCTGACAAAAATGTTTGACCTTGTATTGATCAGGGAGTTATCCAGTCTGTGTCCACTTATTAGCCACAGTGGCCACTACAGTGCAGTTCCATGCTTTTGCCTCTGAACGGACTACGTTCTTTGAGGCACTGATTTTCCAGGGATCTCAGCCCTCGCTGACTTACTGCATCTCCCTGTTTGTGCAGATTTGTCAAGCGCACACTGATTGTGCAAGCATCCTGGACCAAAATGATCTGTTCAAGAAAACACTCACCTCACTGTTAACATCATTTACCAGCCTACACCACAATCATCAGGCAGGGTAAATCTATTGTGTTTGTGTATTTATATACACAGTACATTAATAAACTTTGTATCATATGCAGCCATGTGAAAAATGAAAACAAAACAATGTTTAACTGAGGGCAAAGAGGAGTCACTGAATGATCTGATGAGACCAAATAAGCTGATATTGTTGGCACAGTAGTTCCCAAAATGTTAGGTTGTGACCCCTTTTGTATATACAGTATATCACCTTCATCCCTTCTTTGTATACTACATCATTTAGACTATTATTCATTCTGAATATTTGTATCTTTATACAGTATGTCTCTATATGGACTTTTGCTACTGTTTGCATAATCTGGTTTGATGCCGTACTTTATTTTGTTGTATTGCTACCAAATATCTTACTAGTTGGTTTTTGTTAAATTATCACCCATCTATATTCAGTTTGTTAACAGTTTTAGAACATCAAGTAGTAGTTTAACTTTGATCATTTTGGCAGTGGAAGTAAACTGAGCCTTGAAAATTGATGCAAACAGTTCCTACATGTGTCCCAACTTTTGGTGATTCTTGACAACAACAAATCCTATCTGTACAACAGCAGCGTTGGAAAAGACTGTGCTACTACACCATCTGAAACATTTGGAAAAAGGTATTCATAACAAATAAAGTCAGACCTTTTCAGACTTTCATCCTAGAGCAGGATAATAAGCCAAAAAAAACACCCTCAGGCTGTGCAGAAGAAGACGGTAGCTTCAGATGGTGGAATGGCAGCACAGTGTCCAGACTTATCAGATGAAGAGTGAAAGCAACACATCTGCAGGAACTTCTGCAACAGTGCTATCTATCCTGACAAGATTTGATTTCAGTTGTAGAAAGAAGGCCAGTGTGTTGAACTGCTGTTAAGTTACACTATTTACAACAGTAAAAACTGAAATGTTCTAAAAATTTTGACCAGTAGTATATACAGTCAGTATGGAAAGTTTTCATACCCTTTCAAGTTTTCCACATTTTGTTATGTTTCAGACTGATCAGACTCATCAGACTCATAATTTATTCCTCATCAGCTTACACACAATACTCCACAATGATTTACATAAGTATTCAGACCCTTCACTTAGTACCTGGTTAAAGCACCTTTGGCAGCAATGACTTGTAAATGAAGCTACAATCTTGGAACCTTTCTAGCAGAACTGTTCAAGGTTAACCAGGTCAGATGGAAAGAGTTGGTCCACAGCCATTCTCAGGTCTCCCCAGAGATGCTCTGTTGGGCTCAGGTCTGGACTCTGGCCGGGCCACTCCAGGACTTTCACAGAGTTTACCTGAAGCCACTCCTGTGTTTTCTTGGTGATATTCTTTGAGTCATTAGCTTGTTGAAATGTAAACCTTCACCCCAGCCTGAGTTTATGAGCACTCTGGAGAAGGTTTTCAATCAGGATTGCTCTATATTTTTCTGCATCCATCCTTCGCTCTATCATGACTAGTCTCCCAGACACAGAATAACACCCCCACAGAATGATGCTGCCGCCACCGTGTTTGACTGTAGGGATGGTATTAATGAGGTGATGCCCACTGCCTGGTTTTCTCCACACTGTTGGGAATTGTGGCCAGATAGTTCAGTCTTTGTTTCATCAGACCAGAAAAATTTACTTCTCATGGTCTGAGAGTGCTTCAGGCGTCTTTTGGCAAACTCCCAGTGGGCTGCCATCTGCCTTTTAGTGAGGAATGGCTTCTGTCTGGCCATAGAGGCCTGATTGGTGGAGTGCTGTGCTGATGGTTGTCCTTCTCTAAGGTTCTCCCACCTCCAGAAAGGAACTCTGGATCTCACTCATAGTGACCCTTGGGTTCTTAGTTACCGTTCTGATCAAAGCCCTTCATCCCGAATTACTAAGTCTGACTGGGTGGCCAGAAATATGAAGGTTGTTGGTGGTTCCAGATCTCTTCCATCTGAGAATGGTGGAGGCTACTGTGATCCTGGGGGGGTTTAATTCTCGAGAGTTTCTTCCCCAGATCTGTGTCTTGACACAATCCTGTCTCACAGGTCTGTGGACAATTCTCTTGACCTCATGGTTTTGATTTCAGTCTGACATACACCATCAACTGTGAGACCTTATCCAGACAGGTGTGTGCCTTCCTTAATTATATCCAATGCAGACAATTAGGCAATGGTGGACTGTAATCAATCTGTGGAACCATCACAACGGCCACTGATAGGATGCACCAGAGGTGAACTGCAAATGTTATAGCTAGGGGTCTGGATATTTATGAAAATGGGATATTTCAGTCTTTTATTTTGAATAAATTTACAACATATTGTAAAAACCTGTTTTCACTATATCATTGTAGATTACTGTGTGTAGACTGATGAGGAAAAAAATGAACTGATGCCATTTTAAGATGAATCTGAAAATGTGGAAAAACTGTAAACTTCCCATACTGAGTGTATACTGTATATGCAACACAGAGACATGTGCAATAACTGCATTTTCAAAAATGGCACTTCATAATCATCAAATCACCTTCAGCCATCCGGTTTTCTTGAACCTTCCAAATGTAACAGTGTGAATCCTGATCTGGTGGTTCAGTCGATCGCTGACTATGGCGGCCACACCTGATCCAAGGTTGAATTTATGCACAACCCTGCCATTCCTTAGTCCCAAAACAAGGAAGTCGTCACCATCATTGCCTGCAAAATACATGAAACGCCTGCCATTAGGACAGCAGACTCAAAATAACATTTCCCATTAAACATTCTTAAAACAGACAGACACACAAAGTTCTGCCTTCAGTAAAAACACTCACCATAAACACTATAACAACTATTTTGAATAATTAACCCATTTGTTTGCTTTAAATTACTATGTAATTAATTATGTATTTTGCCTACTTGTTTAATTTTGTGCAACTTGATCACTGCCATCAAGGAATGAACTCTGATTCATTCCATGGTGGTCCTGATCAAAGACGCCACTTCATTAAACCAGTGTGAGCTGTTCATATTTCATCTGTTCTTATAGTGTGCCTTTGAATTTGTACCGTTTCCTAAAGTGTTGCTCTCTCTCCTCTGACAAGTGTTTCATTATGCATATTGCTCTTGATTTGTTTTGCCTTCACCTTGATGAATTGCACTCTCAAGAACAAACAAGTGCAGAAGATCCACATGATTGTTTTTTTACCCCCTCCTCCTCCTTTTGATGAAATATGCTGGTAACAATGACACGATGGTTAGCTGCTACCAAACCTGACCCCGCAGTGAGGAGATCTTAATTTACCGTGATGGCTGCTGACAACATCACAGCACCCCTACACCTCAAAGTCTGTTTAATGCAATTAACACTAATACTTTTGAGATGCATGACTCGCATGTTCTTTTTATCCTAGCAATGCCAACATGCTCCTTTTGAAAGTCAAGAACAATAACAGTTTCACTGGGGATCAGCTAATTGCTGGGCTGCAGGAAGACTCATTATTACTGTCTCAAAATCTGCCAAATAAGAAAATCCTAAGGGAATCTTCTTGATTAGAGGATCTCGGAGGAAAGCAGAAATCTATTAGATAGCCCATTAGCATACGCAGCAGGTGAAACCTTTCAAAACTGCAGTAGCATTTCTTTTAAAATCCTTAATGAGGTTTGATAATGAACATCTAACTAAGACGACATCTCAGAGTTGTTTCCCTCTTTTCATTTGACTGTAAGAATTATTTTAAATGACCATGCCGGTGTCAGGATTGAGCTCACCTCGTCCTTTATGCCCAGCGAACAGGATGAGGTTATCTTTCACAGCAGATGAATTGTTGGCAAGTGTGAACTTCAGTTTGAACTCGTAGAAGAAACTGAGGCTCAGGACAGAGGAATAAGCCACAAAAGACATATAACCAAACTCATCACTTCCACCGAACCTGGCACGAGTTATACTGATGGCTGCAAAACAAACACATTTACAACACATTTAAAATACTGTGTTTGCAGTACAGTGTGATTTGTGTACGCTGACACAGGGCTCACTATGTCTATGTGGTAATCTTGGGTGAATCAGGTCTAATTCATCATCTCTTCACAGGTAACCTAAAGATGGCACTATTGCTACACACAATATACCTACACACAACATACCAGGGGTTAGTGAAATATTTTCCTTTCTGAATTGCTTTTAGATGATGACCTGTTTTCAAATACTATCACCTCTTCAGTCCTACTGTATTTTCATTAGCAGCTGCTTAGGGAAGTTTCTGGCAACCAAGCATTGCTTCATACCCAGTGTTCACAAAGGGAGCACAATAATCCCAGTGATTCAATTACAATCTCAAGTTTACTTATTCAGAATGCATGGCTGATTCAATAATGCCCTCTCTTGTACTCCATCTCAGCATACCCATCCACTTGATTTTACACTGGGGACTCTGCAAATTTCCCCACACTCATTCAAAATTACATGCTGCTGTCTTCTTTTTCTTTTCTTTTTGTTCTACACAGCAGTGAGGATTTAAGCACAAAATGTCTCTTCTTCACTGGCAACACCTTGCATATTCTTCTGCAGCCCCAGGCGATGGATAAGAGTGACTCAGAGCTCCCCTCTGCAACTGCCTTCAGCTCTGTTTGACTGCTACATTATTAATAAAGCTGAAAATGCTTCTGTTATCATCTCTAGTCTGCTAGAACAGTATTTGCCTATTCACTGAATGGCCACAGTGTTACAGCTGCAGCTTATTTTTAAGATGTGGTATGTTTGAATGGACCATATCCATGAAGAATGTTTTGCCCTGTAGTAAAAACTGGGCTTTTCTCATTTGTTCAGACCAGAAACAAGCATGCAAGCCATCATAACAACATTAAATTACCTTGAGTGTGTTTATGGTGGGCTATTTACTCTGTTCATTAATTAATTACCTTTAAGCTGACTGTAAATTCTATCAGCAAAATTTAGAGCTGGAATTAAAAAGACACTGCTTAATATTTGATCATGTAATTATGTAATTTTATCAGGATGTCTTTTCAAATAATGATTTGTTTAGAAGCTTATTTTGAGTCCAATCAATGTCATATTACAAGGGGTGAACATAATAACATTATCATTTTAATCCAAGAAAACAGTTCTGCTTTAAACACCAATGTTTTTGAGGTTTATATTGTTCACAGTTTTGCTCAGGTTTTTATAGAAATCAACGTTTGAGACGGCAGTTTGTGAGATTGCCAAAATAGGTTTTGTTATACTGTATCTTGTTTTTGTATAAGGGATGGTTATACAGAGTAGGGACAAATCACAATTAAATCAACACCTTTGTCCATGAAAACTGAATGTTTCACAAAAGTAGCACTGCATTTCATTTAAATTTGCATGTGCTGTTGATTTTATGTCCATCCATTGTAATTCCTAAAATATAACAACCAATCTACATCTATCCCAATGGATACTAAAAAACTCTGAAGCTCCGTATTTCAAGCCTATCATGCAGGCAGGTTTACACTTCTACAGTACAGCTGATTTTACTATCAGTTACCTTTGGGTGTGCTAAACAGGATAGACCCAAATCACAAAAGCCCATTATATCTCATATGATGTAGGAGGCGATAAGAAGAGAAGTGAATTACTGAGTAAATCTGTAAGTTTTTGTTACACACTCTACTCATTCAACCATTAAACAGACAGCCATATATTCTCAGGCATGTGGCATGAGCATTATATTCGGATGTGCACAAACAGCAGAAGTCATTCATGTTTAATGTTCTTCAATTATGTCTTCCTACTCATTGTGTCTGTTAGCTAACTCGTCATTGTACAACACTTCGAAATACTGTTGAGTGCTGGGTAATGTAACTTCTGATTACAGAATGTATTGCTAACAAAGAAGCTTATTGAATGCCTCCATAAAATGCATCTAGCTATGGATTATAGCAGCACACTCACTCGAATAATATCACATAGTGTTTCCACTTTGCTGGGTATTTGTGCAATATGGCGCAAAAACCAGCAGGAGTGGCAGAAGACAAACAGAATGACATCCAACACCAAATTATGAAATGCAATCTGACAAAAACTGCATATTTACAGTATGTGTGAATCTTAGCTGCCACAGAGCAGCTGGGGAAACAACACTTCTTCTGAGTTATAGACACTGATATATTACACTGCTATATTTATTTCAATCACAGAACAATGCAAGTTTAACAAAAACGTCATTAAATCAATACTAAACTTCTGCTGATGCAGAACAATGCCGCAAAATGTTTAAACACAAATATTAAAATCTTTGAACATGGGTTGTATAAAATATATCTATGAAAATGTAACTAACTATATGTCTAACACATGACTGTTGGTTCTTATGCTCCTGTGTTGAAGCATTATTTGCATTATTTTTCCTACACAACTCAGACTCACCATGTAGCTCATCCTTTTCTGACTGGAAACATTTGAAATTCAATTTGAAAACAAAGCTAATATTTAAAACAGAACAGATAAACTATGATCCCATTTAAAAAATATCCACATGAAATGCTAGTACTGTGCCAGTATTACTTTATACTTCACATGCGGTATATTGTTTAAAGTAGTTTATTTCTCTTTTACTTCTGCATATTAATCTTTAATAGGAGGTATGGGCAACTTGTGTACAACGGTAGACCATTAATAATTCTGAGTGAAGTCATTAAATATTAAACACAACCCCTGAGGCATTCCAGTATCAACAGGAATTCCCAGTCTTCCTTTTCCTTCATCTCCTGCTTCTTCATAGACCTACTTTATCTATTAAAGTGCACATGGACACCGAGAATTGAACATATTGGATATAAAATAAATTTAGCTTTAACTTGAGCTTTTTGTTAAAGTGAGAATAAAAGACCAAACTATCACTGACAGTATTTTGCTAAGTATACCACGAGAGGAAAAGTTCTACATGACAAAAAAAGCCCTGGTAGACAGGAGGACCTTAGGAGTGATCAGTTTTTACTCTGATCTTATCTGATGTTATCAGGATTAAAATTCTAATGTCTGCCAAATACTTTGTGTCACACTGGAAGGTCATAATGCTACGTTTGGCATGTGGATGCTGAGTCTGATAGAGTCGGCGGCATGACTGAGCAAGCACAGCCGCTCCTCCTGCAGTCGGTTTAGTCAAGCAAAACCCTTTGTTTCTGAAAACTACATCCCGTGAAACCTCCTTCTTTATGGTGTTTGGGGAAATATAAGCAGTACGAAATCACTATTTGCTATCCTTTCTAGGTCATTCTGAACAGATACAAGTCAAACTTTTAACTAGCATTAGGCAATGAATTTCATGTCAATTCATTTAAAGGTTAGTAAGACGTTTCATTCTGCACCTTGAACTGATTGACATCCTTTGCAAAACTGCCGCTAAAAATACTGCATGTTTTTGCAATGTCTGCACCTTGGTGGTGGACTGATTGACATCCTTTGCAAAACTGTCGCTAAAAATACTGCATGTTTTTGCAATGTAACGCAACAAGAGTTTTGTATTAAATGTGGTTAATCAGTTACTCCAGTGGTCCTTAAAGAACAGCCACTAGTTACAAATGTTCTTGGTATAGGTGGTTGCAATTTACAACCCCTGTTTTTATCTCAGTTTACGGATCAAACCACTAATATATGTTCTTGTCTGTTAGATAACTGCATGACAATTAAATGGATCTGAACAAGGGCCAAAATGCTAACAGTCCGGTTAGCCCCGATGCTTTTAAAATCACGTCTTTATAACCATGTAATAAAGTGAATATGGCCATGGTATTGTGTTTACAGCGTTGCACATGACTCCGCTAGCGCCATTCCTCGAATGTGCTCATTTTTCTGTGAACGGTGAACTGATCGGATTGCTCTGCAACTAAGTAATGTGAGCTTTATGTGCAGGGTGGTGAACTTCGTTCAGTACAGAAAATAAGTTTAATACCAATGTGCTAAAATTAACTTTCCACTACAAATTCTAGGATCCCTTGTATTGTTTCCACTGGAATGTGACACTGCCACGCCAGCAGCGCTGTATCCTATTAACAGAGCGACGCACCACACAATTGTGCTCCACAAGATGTAAAACAAATGCACCCTCGAGCTGCAGCAGACAGTGGTGATGTGCGATACCAATAATTTCCTTCTCAGTTCCATACAAAGTAAAACCCAGGCTGGTATCACCAATACTGATACTTTGCACAGAAAAATGAGGGAAACAAGAAAGGGTCCAGACAACAGTGAGTGATGGTATAAGGCAAGTCTACCAGGGCTAAGATGCTGCTTTTATTAACAACAAATATGTCCATACATACAGGGACCCTTTACATGCCACCTTGGTTGTTGTTTACATCCCTCCCAGCAACCGCATATGAAACCCGCTCTGTTTCTTGCTACCACAAGTCTCCAGAATAAATGTTTTTTTATTCTGATTCTCGATGGCTCAGGTATTTACAGAGCCATAATCTGCATGACTATGACAGGTGGAAGGAGAAGTTGCTCCTGTCAATCAGGTTTTAACTTTGAGAGCTAGTTCGTGTGAAGTATAAACTTGCACAATGTCGTGTTGCCATAAAAGAGAAAATAAGTGATCACAAATGAGCAGAAGTGACTGTGTGCTAGATTATTACCACTGCTGGCAAAGTGAGTCGTATCAACAGCCTGCGGCAGAAACCAGATATTTTAACTAAAAGAAAAACTAGAAAAGTTACTTTGCGTCACACTGCTGAAATTAGCTAAGAAAGAATTTCTTTTGAACTAAAAAGAGTCTTTTAAAGTATTCAGCAAAGCAGCCATAAGTTTTGCCTTGATTATCTGACTCCACTGCTGACATTTCTGCCTTTTCAGCAAAATTTAGTTTTATTAATCCTTTTAACTTAACAACAGGCTCTCAGTCTACCAGCCGCTCAAGGCTCTCATTCAACAACAGTTTTCAGTTCAGCCTCTTAATAAAGCTACTAAATCTACAAAGACTTGATCTGTGTGGAGCTGTTCTTTGTAACACTTACGTTCATCACACAGTAGGCCTTGTCTTCCATAGGGGCAGAGACACACCACCTCCAGCGGCGACTTTGGGATGCACGTGGCTCCATAACCACAGGGGTTTCGGTCACAGGCATTGAACTGGCACAGGCGGCCTGTATAGAGCGGGGGGCACTCACAGAACCAGTCCTCAGCATCGCTAAATGTGTACAAATAGAGGGAGACATCATTAGGCTAGTGGTGAAAATGGACATTGTTATAACATCTCTATACACTTTACAAGTCCACACAGTGGCCCGCTGAATGCACAGGGAGAGCAGTGAGGATAAAATAACCCACCCTGTAAAGCAGAAAAGATCTGAAAAGATGTTAAGAGTAAATGTGCCAAGCCTGATGGAAAATGTGTGATGTGAGATCTGCTGAAGCACAAGCATTTGAGCGAATGTACAGATAGTGGTGAAGAAAAATAACTACAGTGGTTATGAATCTATTTATCTTACGTTGCTACTGCAAAGGCTAAAATTACTTCACGTGTCTTCTGGTAAAGGTAAACACGTGCACCTTGAAAAATATAGGCAGAAAGCAAATGATTCAGAAATGTGTCCGAAAAATTAGAACAAGAAGATGTTCTACAACATCATAGTTAAAACTATTATGTGAAAGATTTATCTGAACTGACCAGGAGTCCTGAGGAGTCATTTTCTTTTGAGTTATGTTCTGAAAACCATTGTCAATGCGGCCGTTCGGAGCTGTGGCCATAAGGTCTCCGGTGCCTGTTGTGGTAGCAATCCCCGAACCCGGTGGTGGACACCGGAAGTAAGGGATGCCGTCAAGCTGAAGAAGGAGTCCTTTCGAGCCTGGTTGGCTCGTGGGACTCCTGAGACAGCTGACGG